GATTGGAAAGAGATAGAACGCTGGGGATGGTCTCATTGTGTTTGTCTTGTTGAGACGCATCGATTGATATGCAACATGACCTTTCTCGGTCAGGTCATGACCTTGACCTGAGGTCAAATTTTCAAGTTGACCTTTCAAGGTCAAATTATAGTTCATTCGACGCGTCTCGGTGAGGGGAACACGATTCTGGAAATAGAAATGTCGTGGCTTTTTGTAGTCGAAAGTTATTGGCCAAAAACACTTTTCGTAAAAACAGCTATTTTTGGAGTTTTTGCCCTCTGGAGGCTAAACCGTTGACCTGAGGTCAATATTGATTATGACCTTTTCAAAAGAAGAGTTCAAAAGCTATCGATTGTTCTATCATGCGTTTTTCTAGCTACCATAGTTCCTGAGATAGCGGCATGTTTTCTGAAAAATATAATGACAATTGGCAAATTTTGACCTTTGATGACCTCTGGTGACCCTAATATTGCTCTAAGGTGAAAAATGACCGAAATACTTTCAAACGTACGCATTGAGAGCTATCGACTGCTTTTTACCGCGTCTTTCTAGCCCTCTTAGTTTTTGAGTTAGAGGTGGGTGGTAACATATGCCCCCCCTCACTAGGGCGAAGTTGGCCGAGACCGCCACTGGGGCGCGGGTTAATAACTATTCCAAGCAATTAACAGGTTTTTATTTTAAGAAGCGCGCAAATTTAGAACCGTCCCGCGCCGGCACAGTCTACATTCAGGCCGGCTAGAGCCAGGCCGGCTTTTAGATTTCATGGCTGGAGGCTGGAGAACTAAAGCCATGCGGCTATTTCCACTCCTGACACACCCTGACCTCCTGCGACACTGACACTGCTCTCGGTCGTCAGCTGCCCGATCACTGGCTGCCCGAGAGGAGCCTGCCGGCCGACGGGCCGCCGCCAGCGCGCCAGTTCGCTCCGTGCCGGATGTTCGTCGACCCTTCCAACCACAGCCGGGGCACCAAGGACTGCGTCTACGGCTACCAGTTCCACGTGCACCAACTCGAATGGACCGCCGTTACCGAGGTGGGTGCCGAAGCCTTAAACCCGCGCACCGACGTGGGGGGGGGGGAGGGCGGATACCTACCTCCTGAGGTTTTTCGTAAATAGTGGAAAAACCGCGGTGCTAGCCCCGCGAAATTTGGCACGACTATTTCCTCATCAATTTTACACATTGTTGCAAGTTTGAACCTCCTACCTTTTAATGTCAAGTCACCAGCTCACTTCGAATGGCTCGACCTCAAATCACTTTTTTGCATCTTTGTTAGTGTCACCGTATCAGAGCTACAGTAGATGACGGAGTCTTTCGAAAGTTGCAGGATGTAATGACTAATGAGGTCATTAGTAGCTACCATTTATCTATCTCAGAATTGTGTTTTGTTTTGCTCCAAATGTCCGTCATCTTGACAGCTTTCGAATGCCGCATTCCCCGTTTTTCTACAACCATCGTGCGGTTCGGATGTTTGACGGGGGCAGTGCAAAATTTGCCCCCTCGCCCCAGGGGGACACGTCGGGGGGACCTCGGGAGGGGGTGGGGTTAATGGTATGCCCAGGCTTGACCCATGAAAAGTTTCCAGGAACCGATCTAGACCTATCTGGGTCGAGGCCGTTTCCATGGGTCCGCATTTCCCCCCCCCCCCCCCCCCAGTGATGCCGCGGCACCCCCCCCCCCAGTGAAGCTTAAATCGCGTCACTGGGGGGAAGGGGGCACGCAGTTAAACCAATCATGTAGAAAAATGGGGTAAGTTCACGAAAAGCTTACCAAACAAACAATCCAGACTATCTCCACGATCACCACGTAACCAATTTTAGTTTTATTATACCGTTGTTTTTTTTTTCTATCTACAAGAAATATTTCAGATCCGCCTAAGACGAGCCGCGGAATGAGGTCAGACATTGAAGATTTTATAAGAAGTTCGTTGACACATTTCCCATGCCAATAAAGCATATAAGAACCGGCCAACAATCTAAGGTTTGGTGTCTGTGTGTACACTAGACAAATATGCATGCATTGACAACTGATTCGGAAGGTTGGAAGCCAAACTCTTAGCTGTATCTCCAAAAATATTGTCCCATACCGATTTTCGTCGCTCCGTCACCTGCCGGAGGCTGATATAAAGTTACCAGCTTTCAAACTCTTGTAGGGGAATCCCCTGCAGTTTCTGCGTCGGATTTAGGTTTGACGAGCTCCCCGGCAACATCCGCTTCTCTCTGAAACTTGAAAGCTGACAGCTTCCATCGACACCATCCGTGAGTATTTTGTAGGTCTTCTCTGGCGCTAGCTCCTTCATGAATTACTGGCGCCTACCTCCCAGGCAAATTTTTCGCAGCATATCGGAACAGAATGTGACGGCCATCTGTTTCTTAGACACATTTGCAAATTTTGCAAATCCCAAACGCTCTTCATTTCCCATGCCAAGACCTTCGCTGGGTTGCGGAATGCGGAGTGTTTTCCTCAGGTGTAAACGGCCAAAACCTGTCCATCGTGCGATTTTGTTGGGATTTTGTGCCTAAAAAAAGCTATTTGCTCCAGATCTGCCTCTTGAAGCTTCGTAAGATAAAGTTTTACATTAAATGACACTTTTGGAGGGTCAGATGTCCTTGGCATTGACGATTTTCGTGTTATTTTCTCCAAAGATTAAGCGTTATAGATATTATAAACTATTTCAAATGCAGTGGTGGGCACTTCGATAACTCCCATCGATAACTATTATCGAATTCGTTATCGACGATAACGTTTTTTTCGAGTTTATCGTTATTGATTATAATCGTTATCGAAGTACCGTTATAGAAGTCCCCGTTTCGGTCAATCGATAACGGTAACAAAATGAAATAGGCGCGAGCGTATTAAAGCGAATAGTTCACCTTCAACATGGGGTTTTGAACTGAGATAGAGTCAGCCGGTGACCGCGGGCGAGGTCAGACGTGCGCACGCGACCCCGCAGCGCAGCGAGAGGGGAGTGTGCGACCACAGTGAGCGCCCGTCTGGTACCGGTGACTTTTGCAGTACGGTCTCAAGGGTGAGTTTATGACCCTCTGAGTCCGTGTGGGGCGGAGCCTGCAGCACTTTGCACTTTGCGATTTTGTGGTGCTGTGGTGGCGAGCGAGACTGTGAGCACTTACCTGAGAGTGGACGTGTGCTGCCGCCATGCCGCGTCCCGCCGGTTCGTGCCCGACCTCTAGTGATGGCGTCAGAGATGCAGCTTCCGACCGACCGAGCGACGGGAGAGATGAGGACGAGAGGCACACTGTGAGTGAGCTCGTCCGGAACTTTAGTGATCCGCCCTGCCCTGAGAGCCAGAAGCGTGACAGATCCGAGTCTGGCGACTCTGCTCCCGCCGGCAAGCGCGGGGCCATGGAGGGCGGCGTAGATTCCGGACGCAACCCTGCTCTCAACCGGGTCGTGAAGGAGTGCATTGAAGCTGCCTTCGACGAGTTGGAGAGCAAGATGTTGGTCTCCATCTCTCGTGACCTTCACGAGTGTAAGACCACGCTGACGGCGGAGATCGGCAGGCTCGGCGAACGGCTCCGAGACCTGGAGCGACACGTCGAGGAGCGCGATGTGGTGATCGCCGAGCTAACCGACGAGCTGCGACGCTCCAAGGAGGAGTTTACTGCCCTGCAGAACCGCGTCGAAGAGGCCGAGGTCAACAATCGTCTTCCCTGCCTCATCTTGTCCGGCGCTGCTTTGGCCGCCCGCCATGCGCCGCGCCTGGAGCCGCCCCTGCAGAACGGCCCCGGCCAAGGTCATGGCGCGATGACGTCACAGTCAGGTGATCACGGGACCGGCGCGGCGAGTGGGCCGGGCGCCAGTGACGAGCGGGGTTCCGCGCGCGGCGGGTCGGGGGGCCGTGCTGGTGAGTGGGAGAGGGAAGACGTAAACGCACTGGTGGTCAACACGTTGAACCGGTGCATGCCTGGCCTCGAGGTCGTCGCGGGCGATATTGATCGAGCGCACCGCCTGCCAGGCGGTCTCAACCGAGTAATAGTGAGGTTCGTCCGTTCAGGACAGGACAGCGTGCGTGACCGAGTGATGACACGACGACTCGAGCTGAAGGGGAAGGACCTGTTCGTGAACGAGTCGTTGACGAAGCTGCGTGGACTCATCTTCAGGTCTCTCCTCGCAGCGAAGCGTGACGGGAAGATTTACACGGTATTCACTCGCAACGGCAACGTCTTCTTCAAAGAGAAGCAGTACGGCGTATCAACGCGTGTCGACTCCCTGCAGCGTCTGCACGAGCTAGGACTGAGGGTGGCGGAGCGCTGAGTGTCGGCGAACCGGCGACCACCTGGACTGTCAACTGGACGGTGAGACAGTTTCTGTGGGCGGGAACGATGTGGCCGGGCGTCGCAGAACGAAACCTTGGGGTGGCACTGGCGCCTCTCTGTTTCTTACAATACGAGGTGTGAGTTGCTAGCACACTTTACTCCAGGGCTCCGTCCCCTACCTGTAACTTGCGCCGACTGTGTCCACAGTGTTGTTATTGTTGATGAGGTGTTTAGTGTTTAAGGTTTAATGTCCACGCCGTAGATATTTTTTATAGTTTTTTTTTTCGATTTTTCACCTCTCTCAGTCTAGAAGAGGCACGTTTGAGGCGCATATTCAAATAACCCAACTTTCCGTATTGTAACTGTTATCTTGTGTTGCGATACTCCTTAAGTTATCATCATAACATAAGGATCAACCGCTATTATTCACCTGGTTTCTTTCAGCTCAGATGTTGAGCCGAAGCGCACTAATTGTTTATTGCTTCGCTGAGTTTCCAGCTACGTGCCATAAGCACAGGTCTTTGAAATTACAGCTGCAGGCTCCGCGCCTTTTATATTTTTTTCTAGTGTTTTTTATGTTTTTGGTTTCAGTTCGCTTTTTGCTTATTGTGTATGTTAGTCGTTTTGCGCCAAAGCACACCACTCATACTTACGTGTACGCACCATACTCGTGCCTTTTTGCTTCCCGGTGTTTCGTTTGTGTGGACAGATCACCTAAGCGGAGATGTCCCGTTGCGCGGCGGCTGGCGACGTCGGCGGCGTCCTCGGTGGCGGCTACCGGCTCGGCGGCTCGGCTGTGGGCGGCGGCGGCGGCGGCGGAGCAGCCCTTACTAGCGACCAACCATGAGTCCATGCGGCCGCCGGCGTCGTCTCTGGCCGGCGATGCTCGCAGCTGCGCTCCTCCTTCATTTCCCGACCACCTCGCCCTCGTGAACAACGGTAATATACCTACACACCACATAACACTTACACACTCAAACTCCCTTGCCACACAGCACAAAAATAGAATACAACAGCAGCGGGCAAAAACAGGTACAAAACTCTCCTTTCAAAGTCAGACAGAATAATGACAGCCATTAATGTATTTTCTTGCAACGTAAGAGGCCTTGGTGAGCAACACAAACGCAGAGATGTGATTCATTTCTTAAAGAACAATAAGTGTGATATTTTAATGTTACAAGACACGCACTTAACGCAAGAAAAGACGTCTTCATTTAACAGTCTATGGAACGGAAAGGCCTATCATTCGTGTTTTAAAAACAATAGTAGAGGCACATCGATTCTGTTCCACAAGAATATTCAGCACGAAGTAATTAACAAGTTCACAGACAAAAAAGGAAACTTTATAATCTTGGAATGCAAAATCAGTTCAGACACATATATTATGGGCAGCGTCTATGGGCCAAATCGAGATGAACCAGACTTCTATGAACGTATAGGGAATATATTAGACAGCACAGACTATGATCATGTAATAATTGGAGGCGATTTTAATTTCGTTGTAAATCCGGATGTAGACTGCTACGGTTATCTACAAGAACATAACGTAAGAGCCAGAAAAAAGTTCATGTCGATCTGTAACCAGTATAACGCCTTTTGGGGCGACTAACGGAGCGAGCGAGAGGGTGACCCTTGCACGTACGAAATTTCGAGGGGGTACTTCCAGCTGACTTGTGCACGGCACCCTACTAACTGATCTCTAGCGATGTGCCAAATTTGAGCACAATCGGCCCAGCCGTTCTCGAGATCTGGAAGCGGCACCCTGCACGTGCGCACGTGCAAAATGGGTCCCAACTGACTTTTGCACGACACCCTACTAACCGGTCCCCAACCATGTACCAAATTTGAGCGTCATCGGTCCAGCCGTTCTCGAGATCTGGAATCGACCCCTGCACGTGCGCACGTGCAGCAGCACCCCAACTCTGGCACATGGATGTGCATTGCCTAGTGGGTGCCTACCTACATGCCAACTTTCAGCGCAATCGGCCAAGTAGTTACCGAGATATTGCAACAATTACAAAAACAACACCTCTTCGTTTTGCACGTGGCACGTGCATAAGGGGTCACCCACATGCATCGGGAATAGTCCAATACTTGGTAGAAGGAATGAAGCTACCCTACAAAAATTACCGCATGTAAATCGGTCAAGTGGTTGCTGAGATATAAGCGTCGCAGAAGCGTGACCACGGCCGGCCGGCCGGCCGGCCGGCCGGCCGCTCATACTCAGAAATTTCCGTTATTCTACGTAAGACTCCGCTCGCTTCGCTCGCTCCGTAATAAATACGACCTAATTGACATCTGGAGAAAGCAGAATCCTGAGAAACAGCAATATACTTGGTTTACACCAGCCCGCCAAAAAGGTGCAAGATTAGACATGTTCTTCGTTAGCCAACATCTATCAATTCGCTGCAATGAAATGCACATCGCGCCCGGCTATCGAACCGATCACAGCCAAATTTCAATAAGTCTAGTTGCAAGCCAATCGAGAGGGCCCGGGCTATGGAAACTAAACGAATCACTACTTAATGACGAAGATTATACCGAGATCGTTAATATTTGTATCCTGAATACTGTAGAAGAATACGCTTTGCCCATCTACACAAAAGATTACATCTCACACGTACCAAATTTTAAAGAAATACAATTCAAGATAAACGACGATTTATTTTATGAAACACTGTTGATGCTGATAAGAGGGGAAACTGTGCGATATTCTAAAAGAAAGGCTAAACAAAAGAGGGAAAAAGAAAAAGATCTTATGACAGAGATAACGCGTGCGGAATCCAAGGCAGATTCCGCGCAATCAGAAGAGAACATAGCGCACCTTAATGGTCTAAAAGAGAAACTTGAAAATCTTAGAAAACCTTTCATTGATGGTTTGATCGTGAGGACAAGGGCTAAGTGGCACGAAGAAGGCGAGAGACCTTCAAAATATTTCCTCAGCATGGAAAAAAGAAACGCAATAAGAAAAATACCAACATGTTTGAAAATTGAAGGACAAATAGTTTCTAAATCGTTTTCGATACTGAACGAATTTACAAAAGATTTAGCAAAGAAATACGCTAAAGATCAAAACCCCTCGCCCTCTATGAAAAACTTTATTACAAAAAATATAACTAACAAACTCAGCATAAACGAGCGCAGACTTTTAGATCAGCCCATAACTTTTGAAGAGTTAACAAACGCGATGAGAAATATGAAAAAAGGGAAATCTCCGGGCGCAAACGGGTTTACGGCATGCTTCTTCAGACGTTTTTGGGATAAACTAGGTCCCTTATTGCATAGAGCATTCGCGTACGCACTCGAGAATAACAAAACGTTGATGACGCATCAGGAAGGCATTGTTACAATGATCCCGAAGGCTGGCAAACCGCCCGATAGCATAAAAGGATGGCGGCCCATAACGTTACTTAACGTAGATTTTAAGATAATTTCTGCAGCGATATCAGCGAGACTGCAAAAAGTAATGGGTAACTTAATAGATTCATGTCAGACTGCTTACATGAAAGGGCGCTACATCGGTGAGAACACTCGTTTAATATTTGACGTGATAAACAATCTAACAAAACACAACAACTCAGGTTTAATTATTTCCGTCGATTTTGAGGCGGCTTTTGATTCCATATCCTGGAACTTTCTGTCCAGTGTCCTCGAGGAATATAATTTTGGCCCATCATTTAGAAAGACGATACAACTAATGTATCTGAACAATGATAATTTTTCGCGAATTATGCTGAACGGATTCTTAGGAAATAAAATCACTTTACGATGCGGGATCCGGCAAGGTGACCCAACTTCTGGGTATTTATTTAACTTAGCTGTTAATTTACTTGCAAATCAAATTAAACAATCAAGGTTAGTGAGAGGAATTAAACTTGAAGATAATATTGAAATAAGAATTTCGCAATACGCTGATGACACTGTGCTTTTCCTGCAAGATGCACAATGTTTGAACGGTGCCCTAAGAGAGTTGGAATATTTTTCAGAAGCCTCGATGCTAAAAGTAAACGTAGATAAAACAACATGTCTGCCGATAGGCCCGCCTACCCTGAACAGTAGTGGAGACCAATGTGGTGTTAAATGGGTCACCAGCATGAAAGTTTTAGGAATCATTTTTGAGAACGATAACACTAATATAACCGAAGTCAACTTGCAACCCAAATTGCTTCAAATACAGAAAGAGATCGCGCACTGGCGTAGAAGAAATTTAACAGTTCTGGGGCGAATAACCGTAGTCAAATCGTTACTGATATCGAAGTTAGTCCACTTGTTCACAGCCTTGCCAAATCCACCTAAAAAAGACCTTAAAAATTTAAATAATTTACTATATCAGTTCATATGGGCGGGTAGGCGAGACCCCATTAAACGTGCCAAGCTCATCCAAAACTACACCAATGGAGGGTTATCTATGATCGATATCCAAGCGTTCGTTAACAGCATGAAGCTCACATGGTTGAAGAGACTCATGCAAAGTCAGGCTCAATGGACAAAAGTTTCGGTCTTGGAATTACCCAAACCAATCCAAGAAATAATGTCCCACGGAAGCAAATTTATAAGGAGAATCAAGGTGAAAGTTACAAACCAGTTTTGGAAAGACGTGTTAGAAGCGTTCGAATTTTTTACCCGAGAACACACCTCCGACACAGAAGAAATACTGTCTGAAAGCATATGGTTTTCGGATTACACAAAATTCACGGGATCGATGATAAGAAGTTGGCACTCAAGAGGAATACGCTTCATTTATGATATATTCGATGAAAATACAGGACGTCTTCACACCAAAGAAAGTTTAGAAAAAGCATACAACATTAAGATGACATTTCTCTGTTACGTGAGCCTGGTAAGAAGCTTACCTGATTCAATAAAAAACGCCTCAATTAAGAAAAGATCTGAACCAAACATGCCGCCAAGGATGAACTTGGCACTAAATCACACTTATTTCACACGCTTCGCCTACATGCAATTCGTGATCCATAGGCAAAAGGAAATAAAAGATGCAAATGAACGGCTAGAGCAAAAGTGGCTCAGGGATGTAGGTTGCTTCGAAGCTAGCAGTTTTGTCGAAGCCGTCAATGCTACGAACTCAAGTTACAACAGAATGTTTCAATATAAAATTGTAAATCGCATCACAGTTACCAACAAATACTTGCGGATGATCAATGTGAAAGAAAGCGAAAACTGTACTTTCTGTAATGCTGAGCCCGAGACAATATCACACTTATTTTGGTACTGTCCCATAACAAAAGAATTTATCACGGCAGTGAAAACTGAACTTCTAAACAAGTACAACGTAAGTGTAAGTGTAAATTTAAAAACATGGTTATTTCCCACAGATTTACCAGCCAGGGAAACATTGATATTCACATTAGCAAAAATAGCAATATACAGAGCGCGCTGCAAAGATAGCACACCACACATCACACACTGGATGAACATGTTAAAACAAGAAATCGAAACAGAAAGCAAAGTTGCCGAGTTGCTCGGCAAACAAAATAACTTTCAAGAGAAATGGGGAGCACTTAGGCATATCAATGCTTAAACAGTGAAGACTGTATTAAAAATGAATAGGACATGAAGAAAAAAACACATACACACACACATACACAACACACATACACAACACACAAACACACTGCACAGCCACATGAACACATTACCGCCACCTATACTCTTATAACACAATACACATTGGCACCCCCTCATAGTATCCCAAACCCTGATATTCTCCTTCCTTCAATCAAGCTAGCGAGCGCGTCGGCCGCTGTACGGCGTTGGCGGTTGTCGCGCGATTTATCT